GGGGGGGGGGGGGGGGGCAGCTCCTCCCTCTCCCGCCAGCTGGGCACCATCAGCAGGCCATCCCCCCACTTCCCTCTCTGCCAAACTGTGCCTCTCCTTCACCTCCCAAGTCTGGCTCAGACTCTCCCTCCAGGAAGCCGACCGACTTGATTAGGCCCCTGAGCCCGCATTGCTCCTTGACTGCCGATCTGCCTTCCTCCCACCCCGTTTCGTCCATCTGGGCTCCAGCCTTAGGCCCTCATCTTCAGTGGCCTTTTTGGGGGGGCCTGGAGCTGTGGCGAAAGGGAAGAGGTGGTGGGGGGAGAGGAAGGACACAGGCCATTCGAGGCAGAACCACTGGCACCTCTGCTCAAAGCCGAAGATCTTGGCTGGGGGCGGGGATTTCTGGACTGGGGCTCAGTGTGGAAGTGGGGGCCAGTTGCCTTCCCGCCTGATGCCCCTGCCGTCCTTCCTGCCCCCCCCCCCCAGGCTGCACAGAAAACCCAGGAGCTGCTGCAGCGGCACTCACAGGGGCCCCTGATTGTGGACACAGTTGCTGCCGAGTCCCTCTCAGTGAGCGCTGGGGCTGGGGGGTGGCCCCGGGGTCCGGGAGGAGGAGAGTCCTGAGCGGGAGGCAGCTGGGAATCCAGAGAGTGGCAGGGTCACCATCTGCCCTCCCTTGCGCAGGTGCTGGTGAAGGTGGTGCGGCAGCTGTGTGAGCGGGCGCCTGGCACCTCTGTGCTCCTCCTCAGCCCCCAGCCGCTGGGGCACGTACTGTGTGCCTGTCAGGTGACCCAGGTGAGGGACGGAGGAGAGCCGCCCATCCCAGTCTAGCTCTCTGGTTCCACGCCTTTGGTTCCTCCGAGGCAGGGTAGAGAGTATCTATGGGGACACCCCAGAACGGGGATAGGGCCATCTCTTAGCCCTAACCACACCCCCCAACCAGAGAAGGCACCATGAGCTCCCCTAATTACCACCACCCCCCCTCCAGGCCACACATCCCTTGCAAACAAGTAGCAGACATTCATTAACCTCCATCCACGTTCCCAGCCCAGTGCTCTCCCATCTCCTCCCTGATTCCCCTACCATGGGCCCAGCTAATCACCATGATGCCACTCTCGAGGGTAGGTGGAGTGGATGGTGGTGGGCAGGGCTGCCCTGCATCCCTGCCGCTTCTATTTCTGTCCCCAGAGTGCCACGCCAGCCTTCACAGCGGAGGCCTGGGCATTGGCGGTATGCAGCCACATGGGGGGCAAGGCCTGGGGCTCTCAGGTGGTGGCCCAGGGCACCGGAACCACTGCTGACCTGGAAGCTGCCCTCAGTACGGCACGAGCCTATGCCCTCGACCAACTCTGACCCGGCTCACCCAGGGACTTGCGTAGACTAAACAGACAGCAGACGGACCCATGACAGGAGCCCTGAAGGAGCCAGCAGAACTTCCCCGGAGGCTGAAGCAAAGCACTGAAGTCTGGAGGCCAAGCAGCTAAGCCCAGGAGGGCTACTTTGGGCCAGGCCCCGTGCAGACACGAGATGGGGCTGCAGGAGGCGGAAGTGGACCCAGAGACATACTCCCCTGTCACTGGATGAATGTGGAGCCACGGACTGTCTTGGCTGTGATTGCTCATTAAAAAGTATTTCACTGAGGGACGCCTGGGAGGCTCAGTCAGTTAAACATCTGCCTTCAGCTCAGGTCATGATCCCAGGGTCCTGGGATCGAGCCCCGCATCAGGCTCCCTGCTCAGCAGAGAGCCTGCTTCTCCCTCTGCCTCTCCTGCCTCTCCCCTTGCTTGTGCTCTCTCAGTCTGTGTCAAAGAAATAAATAAATTTTTTTCTTTAAAAAGAAAAGAAAAGTATTTCACCGAGGCTAGAAAGCTCCAGGAGGTCTTTTGCTTAAAAACGAGCAGCTTTCCCCACCCAGCATCCACATCAGAACCATCCTTCTCGCCCCTGGTGCTCAATGGGCTTTCCAAAGCCAGCCTGTTCTCGGTACCCACCAGGGCCTCCCTGGCCACCAAGACCCAGAACTGCCCTATGAAAGTCATGACAACAGGGCAGATCCTCTCTGGTGCCACTTGTTTCAGTAACTGCAGCTTTTCATAAAGGCCCCGTCGATAAAATGAGCAACAGGTACTGGTCAGTTGCTGAGAATGTGGCAAGAACCAAAGGCCTACAACTTGCTGCACTTGTGGAGCTTGCTGCTAGTGGGGAAATACGCAATAAAGAGAAGGAAGCGGGTGTAAGGCAGGGATGAGGTCTGCAGAGAAACTGGGACAGGGATCAGGAGGGTGGGTGACTTTGTTGTTTCACGGGGAGGTGGCACCTGAGGGGAGGGTGTGAGCCACGAGGTTATCTGAGGGAGGAATGCCCCAGGCCAGGGCACAGCCAGGGCAGGGGCCCTGCGGGGAAGGTGAGCAGGCACAGGGAGCTGGGAGACTGGCAGGTGATGGGGTCTGGAGAGTGCAGGGGGCCAGAGGCTTAAAGTTGCCACAGCACCTGCCCCAAACCTGAGCTGGAGCTAAAGCTGAGAAATGGCAGCTCAGAGTGGGAGGAAGCCGAGAGCCCAAGGGCAGCCCTCCTTCCCTACTAGAATGAATGTGCTCAGGACCCAGCCAGGCTCAGGACCTCCACCTCTGTTCCCAGATCTCCGTTGCTAGAGGAGGGAAAGGACCTCAGGGGACCCATCTCCCAAGTCAAAGGCTCCCTGGTGAACACGTTCTGGGGCTGTTTAGTTAAAATTATAAGCGCAGAGCGTGGCTTCTGGCATGATTTCTCATTCTAATTGCACCGGCGAAAGGGCTTGCAAGGGGACTAGTCCCTGCCTGCATGGGATGCCGGGAATTCTGCAGGGCCGGACTGCTTGCTCAGCCCTGTGGGCTTGCAAAGCTGTACTTCCGGAGCTCGGCAACTGCCACAGTAGCCACATCTCAGCGGTGCTCACTGGAAGCCCAGCTCTTTACCGTGAACACCAGGGGGAAGAGTTGTGGCGGCGCCCCTGTTTTATGATGAGTTAAGCGAGCTTCTAAGATGTTAACTTAGACTTAACATACTAGTAATCGGGAGAGCTGAAAGTAAAGCTAAACTACCTCCATGTGAAACGTCCCACCACCCTGGTCGCCTCTCCCCTCCTCAAGGACAATTGTTCTTCCTAGCCAATCCCACCCCACCCCACCCCCCGCCGAAGTTGGTTGCTCCGGCCCATCAGGAGCACCACCCCCTGTCAGGGCTGAGGCAGGGAGGGGTGACATAACGCTTAGGGCTGTGTGAAGGAGCGCTGTGGAGACCTGAACCTTCCTGCCTGGTGCCTGACATCAGCCTTGTTTACATCCTGGAGAAAGGTGGAAGGTGCCACTCTGCACGGATGCTGCACCCCACAGCTCTCCTGCAAGGCCCGGGGTCAACAGCAGGCCTCAGAGGAGTTCCAGTAACCCCTGCAGGTGCCCGTCCATCTCCTCATCTTCCAGAAGAAACTGCCGATGCTTTTCCTGGACCGTCTTTCCACTCGTCACCCTACACCCCCGTTTCCACACAAAGGTACCAAAAAGGAACAGCACTCCAGTCCAGGAGCCCTGCCCTGGCTCCCACTCCTCACCTTTCCCCCAGAAAAGCCCATCTATTCCTAAACATGTCCCTCAGAACCAGAGAGCACGCCCCCCGCCCACCACCACCACCACCGCAGAGTTCCTGATCCCCCACACCGCCGCACGCCGCGGAGACCCGGTGCACACGCGGATGTACTCGCGCACATGCGCACCGGCCCTCGGCCCCGCCCCCTGGCGACGCGGGGCGTCCATAACGACCGGCGAGGCCGCGCGGGGGGGCCTGCAGGAAGGTGAGCGCTCCGGCACCTAGAGTGGGTGAGGTGAGCCCCGGAAGAGAGGACGCTCCACCCCGGGTCTCCCTAACTCCCCCTGCCCCCCACTCCCGCCCGGCTGAGGCTGGCTTGGCTCCTTGGCTCTGGGCCGGCCTGTCCCCACAGGAGGCCCCCCAGGCCCACCCATTTGAGGCGGGACTCTTGCCTTCTCCCCTAGCTACGGTCACTGTCTGCATACTGGCCCAGAGGCTTAGGGTCTGCGAGTAAAGGGGTGCTGGGGTGGGGGGGGGCACCGTGAGAAGGAGAAAGGGGAAAGTGGGGCATGGGTAGGTCAGAGCTGTCCTGAGACCTGGAGCCTCAGGCTTCTCAGAAAGGCTGACTCCCATGCCCAGCTCCTGCAGGCTGCAGTCCTTCCTGCAGGTTCAGAAGCTTCGGGACCTCCCTTCCACCCTCCCTCCCACAGCACGGCTGGTTTCCCTTGGTTACCAAGGCACAGCAAGGGCCTCTGCACCCCAGGCAGGTTGGGGGAGAGACTCGCTGGCCTTTGGAGCTGAGCTTCCCTGCTGGGTGTCTGAGCCCAAGGCTGGAGTGAGGGGTGGGGAGCGAATACTCTGGAGTCCTATTAAAGACAACAGACCAAAGTGGTCAGGAGTTGGGAGGAGGGCCAGGCCCGGGGGTGTGATTAAGTTTGCTGCTGTCTCACTGGGGCCAATCACCAAGCAAGCTGGGCCGGGCTCTGTCGGAGAACTTTGTTGTCCCTCTTTTGTGATTTCACAAACTGGGATGTTCCCGAATGGGAATTTGGGAGTGATATGGGCCGAGCTAGGGTCTGATAGGGGCATGAAAGAGATCAGGGGAAGTCAGACAAATGCCCGGGGCCGCTGAGGACATGCCCAGGGAGAGTTCTCCTTGGGGATTCTAAGGTGAAGGAGAAGCTGGCTGAGAAGGTAGGGGAAGCACAGTGGGAGAAGTGGGTGGAGGGTGGAACCCATCTAGCTGAGCCAGCCCCGAGGGTGGTGCCCAGGGGCACAGAGGTGCTTTGGCTCCTCAGCTAAGAGGAAGGGGGGGGAGGGGGGGAGATGAGGGCCAGAGATGTGATGAGCAGGAAGGGGAGAGTGTGCTCCCCCAGCCTCTTCAACTTTCCCATTCAGGCAGAGGGAGAAGCCTCTGCCCACAGTGGTTAGATTTAACTGGGGACTTGAGAAGTCTGAGACGTCCAAGAGGAGGGAATGTGCTAGATTCAGGCACTGAATCCCAGGTCTGTGAGGAACATCAAGGGCCCATTGTGAGCCATGGGCCAGGAGAGCGCAGCTCTGCAGGATGTTCTCGGGTCCCCAGAAGGCCACGGGCTGAAGGATACAGGTGATGGCCCAATTCTGTGGAAGGACCCCGTGCTGGGCAGTGATTTAGGGACTGAGGGAGCCTGAGCTGTTTAGGCCAGCATCAAAAGGGTTACCCGGAGATGGCAAGAGCTCATGAGCTGGAGAAAGTGGGAGGCCCACTGGAAAAGTGCTGTGAACAACCAAGTCTGGACAATTTAGGAAGCAACCCCAACAGCTCATTATTTGCCTACGCTTTTGTGCACGGAAGTAATGGACGGATATCAGCTCAAACCTTAGCTTTCCCACTTACTAGCTATGTGATGCATACTTAGCAAGTTACTTAGGCTTTCTAAGCCTGTTTCCTCGTTTGTGCAATGGGGATAATAGTGTCGTAATAGCAGTGATAGCCCTCAATAATAAATTTGAAGATTTAATAAACGTATGTAGGTGAGGCCTGTAACATCTCATCATAATATCTATCACACATTTTGAATGCTGGCTCTGGGCCCAGCACTACATGAAACGTCTCACACACATCAGCACGGATAATCTTCGGAAGTAGGTACTATTCATTTCCATCCCCATTTTACAGATAAATAAATGGAGGCTTAGTGGGGTGAAATGACTTGCCCAAGGTCTCACAGATGCTCCGGGGCAGAGTGTAGATTGGCCCTCAGGCAGTGTAATTCCTGAGTCCTTGGCCAGCTGCAAAGGCTTTGACAGCCTAACATTCAATAAATCATAGCTGTTACATAGGCAAGGATCTGGTTCCCAGAACACTTGTCCAGCAGACACAAGCCATCAAAAATGAAGACAAGTTGGCCGAACTAGGGCATGTTGTCCCTTTATATTACCTGTGCTTGGGCACATAGAGAGCGGACTTTAACACCTAACCCTTTGAGTTAGGGCCTGAACGTGATTTCAGGACCCTGGACCCCGGTCCTAAGGACACAGAGTGGGGACCTGGTTGGGGGGAGGACTGGCCTTTCTACAGGGACTGTGGTCCTGTGTTGGGTTAGGGTTGATGCTGGAGACACAGCATGTGAAGCCCAACACGCCCATGAAACAGGTGCCAGGAGGCAAAGGTCACAGGACATGTCCCCACTTTCCCCATCCTAGGGTAACTTGTGCCCTTAGGGACACCAGGTGGGGGCACAAAAGGCAGTCACTCCCCATGGCCCTGACCTTCTCTCTGGAATGTCAGAAAAGATTCCTGCCCCAGAGAAGGATCAGGGTCTTCAACTTGCTTCCAGTCTTCAAACTCTGGGGTTCCCTGTCTGCCCCATAGGTTCCCTAGGGAGACAAAGCTTCAAAAAGGAAGGTGGCTGCCATTTCTGGGGCTGTCCTCCTTGGGCCCTTGGGAGCTGTCAGGGTGCCCCTGGGCCCCTGGCTAATGGATGCCTATCCATGCCTCAGGCTTCCGGGGAAGACAGTACCACCTGCTACCACCATCAGCTGCAGACTGGCGATGCTTGGGCCAGACTGAGGCCACCCCGGGAAGTAGGGGGAGTTATCACAGGGCCCCTGACTTGTGGGCCCTCCACATTCAGTGGTGTGTTTTCCTTGCCCCCTTCCTAACTTGGCTTGTTGAATCTGAAATTCCTTCACACTCAGCTGTGGATGACTGAGAAGAAGGGAGATATAGATATGTTAGGGGCCTGACATTTCCATAGCGGGGAGCCAATGTCTGATTGCTCTCTCGGCCCGGAGAGGCCTTCCCTGACAGGTTCTTGTTGCATAAAGATAGGCCCCCCAGCTTCCCAGGAAGCAGGGATGTGCCTTCTTTCCTGGCGGAGGGTGGAAAATTGTGGGCAGTGCCTGGGGAAGAGCAGTGTACTGTGGTGAGGGGGAGGTGACTGCCCTCAGGCCCTGGGCCTAGCCCTCCTAGCTGTCCGAGGACCAGTCATTTCTCCATCCCTAGAATGGGGCTGAGAAGCCTGCCCTGCCTCCCCTGCAGAGTGGCTGTAAGATCCAAAGGACCCCAAAGCTCTGAAAGGAGCTTGTTAACTGCTACATGCTGAGTAGGTCAGGTTGCTGATCTGTCCTCCAGCGGGAGAGAGGAGAGGGGAAGCTGGAGGCCCAGGGCGGCCTGGAGAGGAAGAGGCCCCCGAGTGAGATGCCAGGCCTCTGGCTCTTCTCAGCCACCCCATTGAACTATTTCATCTACTGATTTAGGATTTTTTCCATAATTCCATTCACCAAACTGTGAGCCTGCCCAAATGGTCAGGGCCCTTTGGTCACAAAGGGGCAGAAACCCAACTCAGTTTCCGCAAAAGGGACCTATCAGAAGGCTGCCAAGTAGTTCTCAGAACCAGAGGAACTGCCGAGGAGCCAGGCAGTTCTCGGGGGCCTGGGGGCGTCAGACTGGGGACCAAAAGTACCGGGTGCTCTCTGTTCCACCTCTCATTTCTGCTGGTCTCCCCCAGGCTTCATTCCCTCCTGCGGCAGACAGGGCTCCATGTGAAGGGAAACAGCCAGCCTCCCGCAGCAGGAGATGAGTATCCTTCAAGGACATCCGTCCTTGCGTCTACCTCCACCTCTGCGGCTGCTCCAACAAAGCCCAAGAAAGGCCCTGATTGGCTTGCATCACCCCTGAGCCAGTCACCCTGACCAGTATGGGACACTCCTATTGGCCAGAATCTGTCCTCGGAAGGGGGCGGGGCAGCTCCGAACACCAGCTACCTCCTGTAAAGCAGACCTGGCGTGGGCCAGGGATTAGGGAGAAAAAGGAGTCAGAAACAGCCCCTGCACCTCAAGTTGCTCACAGTCTAGGGTGGGTGTGGGTGGAGGGTGCTCAATCAGATCACTGAAGGGACAGCGGTACAGGGGTCTGATAAAGGGCAGGGGTCAGGTGAACCGCCTGGGCAGGGGGGGACCGTGCTTTATATCTTTTTTTTTTTTTTTAAATTCCAGTTAGTTAACAAACGACAGTTATCAGAGGGGAAGTGGGTGGGGTTGGGTTATACAGGTGATGGGGAAAGTGAAAACTGTCAACTCTGACCTTATTACTGGGTTAATGGTTTCAGACTTTAACCTTACAAATGGCATCAGACCCCGTGGTATGGAGGTTTCTGTAAGCCATGCAGGACGATAGGGACTCTTTTTGATACCCGCCATGTACCTGGAGCGCATCTGCCTCCTCTTTCTGAGGGGGGGCTCAGGACCCCGGAGCCCACCCTGGGGTGGGTCCTGCGGTGTCATGCCCAGAGGGGGCCACAGCTCCAACCAGCAGCAAGAAAGATGAAGAGCAGACCTCAGGAAGAGTTGCCGGGTCCTAAGACAATGAAGCACTAGACAGTAGAACCAGCAACGGCCGCCCGGTTCCAGGGGGCGGCGTGCCTGCCCCCAGGTGGGGTGTCCCCAACACGAGGCCTCCCAGGACGAAGGAGAGGGAAGGGCCTACCTGGATGGTGAGGCTGGGCAGCGCTGTGAGAAATATCTGGAGAGTCAGTCGGCTCCAGGGTAACACCAGCCAGAAACCTGGGGCTCCCCCCGCCAAGCCAGGTCCTGCTCCCGTGGGTGTGGCCCACAGTGTGTCTTGGGATACATCTGGGCCCAAAGGGAATGCCGGAATGTTTTCAGCCAGAACTCTGGAGGGAACTTTTGGTGGGAGCCCCAAGACCCCAGAGACAGAGCTGGGAGGAACAGGGCCGGCCTGTTGTCTCTTTCCTCCTGGTGCCCGGACTGCCAGGCCCCTCCATCCTAATCCAGCCCCAAACACCACCAAAGCCACCTTGCCCTCCGCCTCTCCCCTGGAGATAGGGAAGCGCCTCACTCAAGGATACCATCTCAGGTCAGCACTCAGAGGTAGGGCTCCGAGGTATTCTCTCCCCAGCCCAAGACCCCTGTCCCCCATCCTCCACACCCCCCCACCCCCAGTACTCATTTCAGACATTATCTCAGAGGAATTTCCATAACCGCCTGCAGAAGGAAGATATCGAAACTGAAGCTCAGATAGGTTAAGTAAATTGGCCAAGGTCACATAGCAAATCACTGGCAAAGCCAGAAATGCAAAGTCATCTGGCACCTCTAAGAAGCATCCCCTCCCAGCCACACCCTCTGAGGGGCTATTAGTCAAATGCACCAGCTGGTTCTTCCACAAATCTGGACACAATCGGTTTGTGAATTTGCATTTGATTTGCATAAGGGTGTCACAAATACTTAGATGTCTTCCCTACACTGCCTCATGTCCCCCCCACCCCGTCTCTTTCTCTCTGCCCCCCACCTCCCCACACACACAGCCAGGCTCTTCCTCCTTGAGATGCCTGGTGGACTGGGGAGTACCATCTGGTCCCCTCCATCTGCCAAGGACACCTTTGCTGGTTCAGAGTGTTCCTTCCCACCGGGCACTACACAGTGCACGAGTCAGGGAGGAAATCCGAGGGGAAACTGCCGGGAGGAGGAGCTGCATGCGGAGCGGCCCCGTTTCAGCCTGCAGCCTCAGGGCAGGGGCACCTGCAGCAGGGAGGCACGAATGGACAAACGCGGAGGAGGGTCCCCAGCCCCAGATACATCCTCTGTCTCCTGTCTCCAGCCCCAGATTTAGCTGCCTTTTCACCTCCCACGCCTTCCCGCTGCCGTCTGGAATGTCGGGAGGCTGGGAGAACTAGGAAGACTGGATAGGGAGATGGGGGGGGTGCGGGGAGGAGCGGAGCCAGAGCTCTCAGAGGGCAAGAGGGAAGGTGCCGGCACCCTGGACAGAGCATGGGTCTGGTCCCTTCCCCCCTGTCTTCATCTCAGCCTACACTATCCAAAACAGAGGCCGTTAGATACACGTGACTATTGAGCCATCGGATTTCGAAGGCTTAATATGAAAAAGTGTATATAAAATATCTCATTAATTTTTATAGTGATTACATATTTCAATGATAATATTGTGGACATATTGGGTTAAACATAAAATTAATTTCACCCATTTCTCTTTATTTTGTTTTAATGTGGATGCTAGAAAATTTTAAACAGTATATGTGGCTTGCATTTTGACATGTATTGCATTTCTATTTGGCAGTGCTGTTCTCAACTCCATCCTCCTGGTTAGGCAGTTGCTGTTCTGTAAAATACTTAACCCCGGGAGCTGTTTTGAACTAAATGGTTCTTTATTATACCTCCATCTTTTGGCAATACACACCCCCACACCTCACCCTCAGAGGGGCAGTACAATGTAGGGTTAAGAGTATGAACTTGAGGGGCGCCTGGCTGGCTCAGTCGGTAGAGCATGCAACTCTTGATCTGGGGGTTGTGAGTTCGAGCCCCATGTTGGGTGTAGAGATTATTTAAAATGTAAAAAAAAAAAAAAAAAAGGTATGAACTTGATAGACTGAATTTAAATCCATCCTTGTTATTTATAAGCTGTATGACGTGGGGCAAGTCAATTAACCTGTGTTTCAGGTTCACATCAGAAAAATGGGAAAAATATGAGTGCCTATCTCAAAAAGGCTTTTGTGAGGATTAAATGAGTTAATACGCATAAAGAACTTTTTAAAAAAATGTGTCCAGGGGTGCCTGGGTGGCACAGTCGGTTGAGCATCCTACTCTTGGTTCCAGCTCAGGTCATGATTTCAGGGTCATGGGATTGAGCCCCACGGCAAGCTCCATGCTCAGTGGGGGGTCTGCTTGAAATTCTCTCTCCCCCCCTGCCCCTCCCCTGCTCATGCTTTCACACTCTCCCTGTCTCTCTCAAATAAATAAATAACCCTTTTTTTTTAAAGTAAGTAAATAAATAAGGGTCCAACATATATCAATTACTTATCATTGCTGTGTAGGTATTATTATCCAAAATGTGGGCCTGCTTCCTGCTATAGTTGCATGTGTCGCAGTATACTGGGTTGGATGCATTATTTTATTCACTTCTCCCGTTCCTCTTATAGGTGACTGCCATCCTCATTTCACAGAGGAGGCATATGAAACTATAAGAGATTCAGTAACTTGCCCAAGGCCACACAGCTAGCCAATGGGATCTATACCTGGATCAGCTCTACTCCAGAGATGGACCCTTAAGAACCACTCTGTGCTACCTCTCTTGCTAAATGCCCACTCCAAAGTTAAGACCTCCACCCCTCCTCTTCCTCCAGGGCATCAAGGACCTGCCAGTGTGAGAGACTCATCGTCACAAGGCCATCACCAAGGGGCTCCCTGCCCCTAGGCTGCCAGTCCACAGCATGCAGGAAACCCTAGCAACATCGACACTGTTGGCACCCAGCCGATCCTCAATCTCCACGCAGGAAAGGTTCTCCACTGCAGGCCAAACTTCGAGCACAGGCCCCCAGCCCTCAAGGCTCTCAATCATCCCACCCCCCAGCAAGTCCAAGGGCTGGAATTCTGGGACCAAAGTACGTCGGATGCGCAGGATCATAGCTGAGGATCCCGAGTGGTCACTGGCCATCGTGCCCCTCCTCACAGAGCTCTGCATTCAGCACATCGTCAAGAACTTCCAGAGTGAGTCTGTCCCTGCCCTGGGCAGGAGGGAAAGGCCAGGAATGGGGCAGGATGGGTGGGATTTGCCCAGAGGCGAGCCTCAGCGAGGCCTCAGAGGCTGGGTCCCGGCGCAGCCCCGGCCCTTCCGCACTGTGTCCTCATCCCTGCTCAACACTGCCCTTCCCCCTTGGGGCCAGAATGGTTTCTCCCACTGCCCCCACTTCCAGGCCCCACCAGGTTCCCACCCACACTGTGCCCTGTGCGCCTATGGCCTCTCCTCTCCTTTCCCACTCTCTCCAGCCAAACCCAGCCCAAACCGTGTTTACTGAACACCTCCTCCGGTAAGCCCTCCCTGGTGGACCATCCTCCACTCTCTTGGAGCCTTGCACAGTGTGTATAGGCTCTTGGTTTGTGCTGTACTCTGTGCTCTGTAAATGGTCATCCTTTTCAAAGATGAGTTGCCAACCTCTCCTACCAGACAGGGTGCTCTGAGGACAGGATCGTCATTTTATCTACAGTACCTACTGCCACCCGACCTACAATATACTCACCTGACTGATTTGTTGTCTGCCTCCTCTCTAAGAGGGAGTGGCTTCCTCTGTCTTGTTCACTCTTATATCCGTGGCACTTAGAACAGTGTCTGCTGCACAGGAGGTGCTCAAACATTTTCTTGTTTTGAGATGAATGAATCAAATCATTTGGGAATCTCCGAACTCAGGATTATGTCCTGCATCAGACCAAGTGATAATTGAAGGCTAGACCTGAGATTCTTGCTCAGACTGGGAGCTCCCGGAAACCAGATACTAAGCTGTCCACCTTCAGGCAGGGAACACCCCAAAGCCTGGGGCTGCATCTCCTGTCTCAGCCTGAGCATCCCTGGGAGTAAAGGCTGTCCCCCCTCTCGGACTGGGGCTCCCTGAGGGCCCGGGAGGGTCTTCCATTTCGTCGGTGCCCCTAGGCAGGCCCGGAGCAGGGCACCACGCCATGGGGCCCCCCCACACTGTGACTCCTGCTTTCCTTCCTATTCCCAAAGACAACCCTATCCTGAAGCAGCTGCTTCCAGAGCACCAGCAGAAGGTGCTGAGCCACTTGTCACCCGAGCTGCCGCTGGCTGTGACCGCCAACCTGATCGACGACGAGAGCTACTGGCGCCGCTGCTGCCTGCAGCGCTGGCCCGTGTGCCACGTGGCCAGGCATGGCGGCAGCTGGAAGCGCCTGTTCTTCGAGCGGCACCTGGAGAACCTGATCAAGCACTTCATCCCAGGCACCACGGACCCCGCCGTGCTGCTCGACCTGCTGCCGCTCTGCCGGAGCTACGTGCGCAGGCTGTGCGTGCATCAGCTCCTCCCGCCCGTGCAGCCGCCCGCCCCACCCCGCAGCGGGGAGCTGTCCGACTCGGGCAGCGAGGGGGAGACGGAGGAGCCTGCCACTGACCACTACCAACTGCGCGACCTGGTGGCCGGCCTGAGCCACCTGGAGGAGCTAGACCTGGTGTACGGGGTCAAGGACTGCGGCATGAACTTCGAGGGGAACCTCTTCCTCTTCACCTATCGGGACTGCCACTCCCTGGCGGCCACCATCAAAGCATGCCACACCCTCAAGGTACCCGAGGGCCCAGCCTTCCCCCACCTCCCATCCTCAGCGCCTCTCGGATTCCCTCTCCCCTCCTCTTCCTCCCCCTCCATCCCCATCTTCTCCCTCCCGTTTCCTTCTCACTCTCTGACCAAGTGTCCCTTAATGCACCTTGCGCCAAGCTGGATTCTGGGGGTGCAGAGGTGAACAAGGCACTGCCTTCCCAGTTCACGAGCCATTTATTCGTCCAAGGATCATCTGCGCTCCAGGCCCTATCCTAGGTGCTGAAGATTCAATAAGGAGCAAAATTAAACCATTTGTGCCCTCTGGAGCGAACAGCCTGGTGGGATAAAAGGCACTCATCAGCAATCATGTAAATGTGAAATTAACAACTAGGATAGGCTTGCTAGATTCAGCAAATAAAAATACAAGACATCCAGTTAAATTTGAAACTCAAATACACAATGAGTAATTTTTTGGGTGAAGTATGTCCCAAATATTCTGGTTGGGAGAGGGAAAGCCTGCCAAAAAGTCAGAGAAAGAGGAAAAGGGGGACATGGCCCTGAGTCACAGAGCCAAGGGAGGGGTGCGTTTCAAGAAAAGGGGCAGGCAGCAATGGGGGGTGGTGATGCTGAGGACCGAATTTAGCAAACTCGGAGGTCACAGAGCCGGAACTGTCAGTGGAGTGCCAGAAACAGGGACCAGATCCGAGTGGTTTATGGAAAGAGTGGGAAGTGAGGAAACAGGATGGCTGTGATCAGCTTTTTCAAGAACTTGGCTGTGAAGGGGGCGAAGGGGAAATCAGTAATAGATGAAGGGTTTGGGTTTTCTTAAAAAGATATTTGCATGTGTTTAAAACCAATGTAAAGCTCCATCCAATAGCAAGAAAGCGGCCGAGTCCAGGAGAAAGGCACAGGTTCATTGACCAGGGAAGGTTCCTGACAAGGCAGGAGAGGTAGAATTGAAGACCGAGGTGGGACAGTTGGCTCTGGGCAGAGGAGAGAGTGGGTGTGGTGGGTAGCAGTGGGTTGCTGTTTGGTATTAGGAAAGTGAAGGGTTCTCATTCAATGGCCGGGAGGCAGGGGGAGACTTGACTGCTGAAAGGAGGCTGTAGGGTGGCCCCCTGAAGTTTGAGGAGGCTGAAGAAGGTTGAAGTCATTGTTTCGGAGGAGGAGAGAGTATGTTGTCCAGAGAAACAGGGCTGAATTGGCACACAGCATTGAGGGTCTATTGGTGGTTCCAGCGATACCAACCAGTCCTGTCATGTGACATTTTTCCATCACGTCAGTTGCTTGGGCACAGATATGCAGAAAACAGAGAGTGGGCTTGATCCAGGGTTGGAGCTTTGCCAGATAGGTGCAATGAAATGACAAGAGGGACAAGAGGCTCTAAGTTGGCCAAGAGGGACGTAAAGAAAGCAGGGGACTGAAGGATGGAGAGGCCTCAAGGAAGAGGGAGGAGTGGAAGGAGCTGGTGAGAAGGGGGAGGGTTAGGGCTCCCATCTCCAGTATTCCCCCACGCTAGTCCTACCCCATTCTTTCATCTTTTCTCTCCATCCTTCCATTTCCCATCTCTCACCCTGGTTCTTACCCTGGCATCTCCTTCCAAGAGTTCTTCTCCTCGCCATGGTGGATCTTGGCCAGCTGAAGAGGGCACAGCGAGGGGCTGGGGCATCAGACAGACCTGCATTCAAACCTGCCTCTGGGGCTTGATCACTGTGTGACCCTGGACAAATGACCCATCCACCCTAAGCCTTCCTTTTCTATCTGTAAAGTGCCTAGGATGCTGAGGGTTAGAGATAATGGTTATGATACCCTCTAGCAGCATGCCCAGCGTGCAGTAATTTCTCGATAAATGCTAGGCTTTCTTTCTACTGCCTGCCACCAGTTCGGTACCAATCTGCCATGTGGGGCAGTTCTGCTCTGCCCAAGGGCCAGTCAGGTGGCCAACAGCAGGTGAGCAGAACCTCAGGCCTCCCTGCAGCCCCCTCCTCTCCCTGCAGAAGGTAGGTAGGCAGGCAGGCAGATTCTCCCTGGCTGCGGGCTGCTGCATACCCTCTACCTGCCCACAGATCTTCAGGCTGACCCGAAGCAAGGTGGACGACGACAAGGCACGCATCCTAATTCGCAGCCTCCTGGATCACCCAGCCCTTGAGGAGCTGGACCTGTCACACAACCTCATCGCGGACCGGGGCGCACGTGCCGCAGCCAAGCTGCTGAGCCACAGCCGCTTGCGTGTGCTCAACCTGGCCAACAACCAGGTGCGGGCACCTGGTGCCCAGTCTCTGGCTCACGCCCTAGCACACAACACCAACCTCATTTCCCTCAACCTGCGCCTCAACTGCATTGAGGATGAGGGCGGCCAGGCACTTGCCCACGCCTTGCAGACCAACAAGTGCCTCACAACACTGCACCTCGGTGGCAACGAGCTGTCTGAGCCCACCGCCACGCTCCTCTCCCAGGTGCTCTCCGTCAACACCACGCTCACCAGCATCAACCTGTCCTGCAACCACATCGGGCTGGTAAGCTGTACCTTCTGGGGCCTTGGGGAGGTGCGTATGGAATCCAACTGCCTTCGGGTGCTTCCAGGGTAATTGTTAAGAGCACAGACTTTACCTGGTTCCAATCCCAGCTCTGCCATTTTGCACTTGGTTAAATTACTTAACCTTTTTGGGTCTCCATGTCCTCATCTGTAAAATGGGGATCATAATAGTATCTACTTCTAAGTAGATACTAGTTGTTACTGGGAGGATGAAATGAGTTGTACTTGTAAAGAAGTTAACATTACAGGCACTGGCTAGGAGCTCAGTATCGCTAGCTGTTACTGTTATTCCGGGTTATATCCTATGCTAGGCACTGATATCCTTCAGTGTTCCTTTATTCCTCACAGTTATCTAGTAGAATGTGTATTCCTTTTTTTTTTTTTTGAAGATTCTATTTTTAAGTAATCTCTACACCAAACATGGGGCTCGAACTCACAACCCTAAGATAAAATGTTGCATGCTCTACCAACTGAGCCAACCAGGTGCCCCTAGTAGAACATGAATTCTTTCTTTCCTTTTCTTTTTTTTTTTTTAAAGATTTTATTTATTTATTTGAGACAGAGAGAATGAGATACAGAGAGCATGAGA